AGAGGACTGGGTACTGTCCTGGAGAGGACTGGGTACTGTCCTGGAGGGGACTGGGGTAACGAGGCCCTGGCAGTGTTTAGATGGGTCTGTGTGCCCCCATCCAGATGCCTGTAGAAAGAGCAGTTGACGGGGACCCTGGACGGGGTCCCTGGCCTGCACTCTGGTCCTGACTCTGCTTTTGGAGCCTGTGGGGTGAGGTCCTCTGCAGGCAGTGGGTGGGTTCCTGGGGTCCTGGATGACCCTGCCATCCCCCCCCCCACACACACACCGTGGCCATGTGTGACAGTGCAGGGGCTGTGGCTTCTCAGGGAAGGGACCCCAGGGTCTGTCCTTTGGCGGGAGAGGGCAGCCATCAGCAGCAGGTCACCCAGCTGGTGGCCTATGGCCGTGGTACTCGGGGCCACCCCGTCTTGAGCCTGGCCAGGCTGCACCTGCTGGCCATGACTGGAACGCATCCTCGGGCAGGTAGGCAGTGAGTGGGGGTGCAGAGGTGGGCTCCCCAACTCTGCCAAAACCTACCAGAGACCAGGGAAAATGGACTATGGGTCTGTGTGGAGGGTTATGTGTCGTTCCCAGGGTCTGTGGTGACTGCTGGTAGCCAGATCCTTGACGCAGGAGGCTCTGCACAAGCCCCCGCAGGGCGTCCGTGTGGGCTCCTCACCCGTCCGCAGAGCCCAAGCCACGCACGGGGCGGGCTCTGGTTCCCGGAGTTGAGTGGGAGGCCGAGGCCTCTCGTGGTGTCCGGCGGATCCGGCCACCTGTGCCCACAGAACTGGCAGGGCACTGGGGGAGGCCCGGGCTTCGACGCCCAGCGTCAGCACTGCCTTTGCCATGGGGTCAGGGCCACAGGGGAGACAGGGCAGGCAGGGCACAGGAGTCCCACGTGCTGGCCATGCTGGTGCTGTGAGGACGGAGCCGGACTCTGTGGAAGGCGGGCAACCAGAGGCCCCGAGGCCCTCGGCCTGGGAGGCTGCAGAGCGCTGCTCCGGCGGGAGGAGCCTGGGGCCTCCGGTCTCAGCAGCACGGTGGCCGTTCTCGGTGGTCATTCTGGGAGCCACAGCATGTTCTAGTCTAGAGGTGAAAGAGAGCCGGCACCCCCTCCACCCCGCCGCAGGGATTTCCTCCCACCAGCCAGCCTGGGCTGCAGAGGGGAACACTGAGGCAGGTCCTGGCAGGCAGGCTGAGGAGGCTGAGCAGAGACCGCCACCTGCTGGGCAAATGGCCTTGGGAGCAAAGAGCCCAGCGTGCAGGATCTGGTGCCAGGAAGGGCTCTAAAGGGCAGGCTGGAGGCTCAGGAACCTGGGGAAGTGGGTGGGCACCATTCTTCTAGAACTCTGGGGACTTCTCTGAGCACTGGCACCTGGGTCCTTTGGGATGGCACCTGGAAGCTTGGGGTGAAGACTGGGGCCTCACCCCCAGTGACATGGGGACTTCAACATGGACGGGGCAGACGTCCAACTTGATCTGAATGTGGCTTGTGATGGGGCCCCGCCGGCAGCCCACCCCGTGAGTCACGCTGGCGGTGCCTGGCGCCGACGCTGTGTGGGGGACGGAGGGGCCGCCCCACCGCGAGGTCTGCGTCTGTGACATGGGGCAGAGCAGAGCAGGAGACAAAAGTGTCTTTGAGGCTCTAGGACAAGCAGAGCAGCCCCGCGAGACCCCGGGACTGAGGGGAGGGGGGCTTCCACCAGGCCTGGGTGCTGCCAGGTCGCCTGGTGTTGTAGAGTGTGCCAGGGGCGCACCCTGTGTCCCTTCTCGGGCTGCCTTCCCTCCTCAGGCTCAGTTCTCTTGCTGGGATTTGAGTAACTGTGAAATGATGATATTCTAAGTGGACTTAGGGAGAGCTTAACTCTTCATTTCTTTGGAGTGAAAACCCAGGAATAGAGTGCAAAGCCATGCAATGGTCTAGTCTTCATGAGACCGAGGTGCTACCATTCCTAGGGCATCGCCCTCACGGCCCAGGAGGCACAAAGCCGGCGACCGCCTGTCCCCCAAAGCCCCACAGAGGTCCCACACCCCCACCTGAGGGGGAGCTTCTTGACATTGACCTGCGGCTTCTCTGCACTCGTTTGTTCTCGCCATGTCTTCTCTGGAGAGATGTCTGCTCCACAAACTTTGGTCATTTTCTCACTGATTTTTTCTTCGTGTTGTGTTCAGAGCTCTTTATACATTTCAGATATATCTTCTGTCAGGTTTGTGTTTGCAACTATTGTCTGCCAATCTGTGGCTTTTCTTTCACTTCAGGGTCTTTTGAAGAGCTCAGATTTAAAAATTCTGATGAAACCCAGCTCCCCACGTCTCCATTTGGAGCATGTTGAGGGGTCATCTCTAAGCAGCCTTCACCAGGGTGCCACTCACAGAGGGGTCCTCCTGGGTGTGCTTCCAGATGCCAGTTCTAAGACCTGCTCTCACCTCTATGCCAAGTTACAGAGGTAGACAGGAGGAATTACTTTGCGTAGGACTCCAGTTGGAACTGTTCCAGTTCCACTCTCCACTGCACCTGGCTGCAGTCCTCTGTGCGGCTGTCCATCTGTATCCAGGATCTTGCTAGCACCATTTCCTTGTGGAGGCTTTGTGCTGTGTCTTACAATCCATTGTCCTCCAACTTGAATCCTGGCTGTGCTTGGCCTAAGCTTTTGCTCTGGGTCTGTCCGGCTGTCTTCATGTTCTGGAAACTAAGTGCTTTGCAGCCAGGGACCTCAGCACACTTTGCCCTCTCTGGAAATGTCACATCTGAATTGGCTGTATCAAAACATTGGAAAACTCATGGGTGTGGACTGCTGGAGCAGGTCTGATCAGCACTGAAGAGAGCACTGTGAGAACGTTTTCTGAGCGTCTGGGTGGTGAACAGGTGCACGTGGGAGGGAGGGAAGGAGGGAGGAGGAATCCACTTCTTGTCCTGACTGAACCCGGGCTGCCAGTACTCCTGGCTGCGGCCCAGGGTAGAGGAAACAGGTCCCAGGGCTCCCAACAGCTCCTCTTGCCTATCATGACCTTAGTTTCCTTCTGGCCATTCTGGAACACAAACATGGGCCTGGGCTTCTTTCCAGCCACTGAGATGGCCACAGTGGTCCAGGGCGGGGAGGCCGCTCCCTGCTTTTCCTTCTGTCTTCCTAAGGCCACAGCGACCATCTTGGAACATGAAATGTGTGCATCCAGTGCTTCCTTGAAGCTCTCCCGTCTGCTGAGTCGCTGGTCACCTGTGGCTACAGCCTGGGGGTGGGGGTGGGTTGCCGCAGCATGGAGGGGTGAGATCTGGTGCAGCTGGTCCTAGGCCCCTGCCCGGTGGCTTACAATGCCTGCACCTTGCAGGGGGAAGTCTTGTCGGACCATCACCTTCGAGCAGTTCCAGGAGGCACTGGAGGAGCTGGCCAGGAAGCGGTTCAAGGACAAGAGCAGTGAGGACGCTGTGCGTGAGGTGCACCGACTCATCGAGGGCCGCTCTCCAGTCATCTCTGGAGTCACGGTGCGTGGGTGGGGCGTGGTCACCTGCGCTGCCCGGGGGACACCTCAGAATGCACCGCGTACACCTCAAGAGCCGGCAGAATTGTCAGCCCTGGGGTCCAGGGCTGGCCTGGGGCCACAAAAGAGGTGGAGCCCATACCTGGTCCATGTCCTTGGTCCACCGCCCACCCCACTGTCTGGGGTGCCCCCAGGGACGGGCAGGTCTCCCTGTCCCCAGTCCTGGCACACGTTAAGCTTTACTCCCTCCTCTTTTACAGAAAACCGTGTCCTCACCCACCGTGTCTCGGCTCACAGACACGACCAGGTTCACCGGCTCCCACAAGGAGCGCTTCGACCTGTCGGGCAAGGGCAAGGGCAAGGCCGGCCGTGTGGATCTGGTGGACCAGTCGGGCTACGTGCCCGGCTACAAGCACGCAGGCACCTATGACCAGAAGGTGCAGGGAGGGAAGTAGCCCCCAGGGAGCCCTGGGAACCGCGGGCCAGCACGGGACTCCCCACTGCCCTTCACTACATTCCTGTGCTCAGAGGCCGGCGCCCGGCACCCTGGGGGACGCTCCAGGCCCTCGGCTGTGCCCTGATGTGTTTCTCTCAGACCCTTGGTTGGAACCCTGAGTCACTGACCCTTCCTAACATACATGCTCTGTTTCAAGTCCTGAAATGGACAGCCATTTCACATTGTCCCCCCCAGGATCACACCACACTGGCTGCCTGGTTTGCGGGAGAAGGCATCCTGTGGGGGCTGGTAGACCTGGACAGGAGGACCAGGCCTGTCAGAGGGCAGGCTCACCTCCTGACCAGGAGATACCCTCTAGCAGCTAATGAACTACCCAACAGCACACCTTGCTGTGCAGCACATGTGTGAGGACCAGGCAAACAATGTGACTGCCATGTTTGCTCTCGAGCAGTCCAAGGAGACCTAGAACGTCAAATTGTGACTCTGTCTTTCTCCTCCTGCTGTCCCCACACGCACAGTGCTCAGAGGCAGGGCCTGAGCATCAGGCAGTGCAGCAGCATGGCCGTGGGCTGCTGCCGAGCTCCCTGCCTGCAGCCCAGGCTGGCTGCTCTGTTTTACTCACAAGGCCGCCATCAGCCACATCGTCAGCATCTCCAGCTGTCTCTGAAGCCGCCTTTGTCACTGACTTCCCTGACTCCCCCCAAGCCCTGGAACCCAGAACACTAGGTACCAGACCCAGGCCCAGGCCAGACCTCAGCCTGTCTCAGGGGCTGTTTCTGCTGTAAGCTGCTGGGTGGACAAGTCAGCCGGAGCCAGGTCAGGATCTGTTTGTCCATGTGGCTGCTGGTCCTCAGCACTGTGCCTGTTCCAGGGCAGACCCGCTGGCCACCCGCAGAGGTGGTGCCAGCACGGCCCCAGCCTCGGGTCCACCTGTGGGTCTTGGGATTTGCCTCCCCAGGCAGATAAATGGCTGAGTGGGATACACAGTCTAGCTCACAACACAGATGGACAGCAAGACCTCCTTCTCTGCTGTGGTGGCATGTGAACATGCCTGCCTCTCCTGAGCTCAGAGAATTTACCTGGGTGCCATGCGGCCCAGCAAGGGCCTTCTGCTAGTCTGCCTGAGCCCCTGCCAACAGGGCTCTCTGAGAGAGCAAGGTTCTGCCAAGGCATTCGGCACAGAGAGCCTCAGTCAGTCAGAGAGCCTCATCAGTCAGAGAGCCTCAGTCAGTCAGGGGAGAGCCTCAGTCAGTCAGAGAACCTCAGTCAGTCAGAAAGCCTCAGTCAGTCAGAGAGCCTCAGTCAGTCAGAGAGCCTCAGTCAGTCAGAGGAGAGCCTCAGTCAGTCAGAGAGCCTCAGTCAGTCAGGGGAGAGCCTCAGTCAGTCAGAGAACCTCAGTCAGTCAGAGA